TTTATTGGTCTTTGTTTGATAACTTGCCTAATCACTTCTACTGAAATCTTCCTTTTCAACTACTTTTTTTATACATAAAACTCAAATTTAATATCTCATTTAAAAAAAGTTAAGTTTAGTATCACTCAAACAATAACTTGTTGATGGTTACTCTCTCACACATATATATAAGAGATTTATTTATGTTTGGATTAAATCTACTTAGACTTACTCCGTTCAATAATTCATATTTTACATCAATTTCAACAATTCAACAATTAAATTTAAAGTTTTTTAATTATAAAAATATTAAAAAACTTTGAATTCAACATATTGATTGTTAAAATTTAATATAAAATAAGTTATTGAACATAATAAGTCTAAGTAAACTTACACTTAAAATAAACAAATTTTCCTCTCCCCTCCTCCTCCTCCTCCTCTCTTTATATATATATATTCGTCTTTTAACTATTTTTACAAGTATTTCTATACCTGATCGAATTCAGCTAAATATATTTTCCAACAAAAAAGTAAATATTCCTATTCGTCCTGAATTATTGGATGACCTCGTTACTATCTTATTGGTCGCGAAAAAAAATATTAAAACTACTTCGACATTTAATCAAGAACTAGTCATGAAACCACGTGTCTTCAAAATTCAGGGGTGTTTACTCTTTAACCCGTTAGAATATGGATCAATCATTATTCATTGCTTGCTGCAACATAACAAATTAAAAGCAACTTACAAACAACTAAGTGTTAGTAAATTTTTTTTTATTATTATTGAATTGGTAAATAACCTCAATCATATGTTTTTCATTATAACATATGTTATAATTTATAAAATAGATTGAAACAAACTGAAGGACACTAGACTAGACCATTGTTTAACTAATTAAGTTACTACACGTTATAAGTGCTTAATGTGTGAACAATTTTTCATTTTTATTTTGCCTTGAAAGACGTTGTTTGAGGCTTTTCCAACAAATATACAAACATGATCAATTGATCTCACATCACTCTACATCAATATCCTTTACAAACTTCATTTTGATTTTGTAAATTTTGGAAAGATGTCCATTCGATTACTGTATTGATCAAAACGAGTAAGGTTGAAAATGTTTTCCCTTAACTTAATTTGGAAGGTATCAAAACTAAAGATATTTTGACAGATAATATATTAAAAAAACATAAATCTCACATCAATTAAAGATAAAATAAATAAAAAATTTATAAATAAGAAATAATTTTCACCTCATTATCTATTTTTATACTTTTATAGGATTGAATTGAGTCTAAATACCCTCTAATGAGACAATGCTATTAAATTTGGATGATTATAGATTTTGTCAAACAAAAACCAGTCATTTGAAATGACAATGAACAAGATATGTAAAATTTTATAATTATAATGATTGACCTTATCGATTAATTACTAAAATCATAATGATAATTATGGTCTAATATTAAGTAAATGATATGAAATTAATATTTAATAATATATATTTAGATTAAAATTTATTTTTATTTTACCTTTGTATCTTATGAAAATGATAAATGACATAAAAAAAATGAGAATTAAACATATATACAAATTAAACTAAATATTATCATGTATTTATTTTATGACATTTGTTTAATGTTAAGTTATAATTAACATTACAAATTTAAAGATCAACAAATTAAATTAAAAGTGCAGATTTTACAAATTCTAAACTAAGACTGTGAGAATAAAAATTGAGAACTTAAATTTACAGATTTAATATTATAAGAGAACTAACAATTTAGTTTCAAAGAGAAAAAGTTAAAAGTAAATATTTAATTACTTGGTTATCCACATAAAGTAAATGTTTAATTACTAGGAGTAACATTTAATAATAAAAAAATCCTTTTTGTTAATTAATTAATACAATAAGCTTGTCACTTTTGGAGACATTATTATCTTCTCTTCCTTTACTATTATTTTAATTGCCACATGGTGATCTTCACGTGTTGTGCATTTAGATTTGCGCTGATATATGAAAGACAAACCTTTCACTCTCTCTTTAAAAAGGCATGCAGTGGGTCACGCATGGGGATGGTGAAAGATCATGTGATGCAATGCTATATACATCCCTCAGTTTTACTTTGTATTATATAAATGAATTTGTAGTTGTAAAGTATATTACATCGATTTAGTATTATATAAACGATTCATGTAATATCAAAATAATATGATTCATCAAAAAAAAATGTTACATCTCATATATACATATTAGCATTTGATTATTAAATTTGAAATGTGATTTACGTCTAAAAAACCTGAGCCTAATAAGGAAGGTGGTGATATTAATTTGGAATAGAATCTTCTGATTATTGAATACTTATTTGGACGACCCTTCCTATTTCATAGCATTGATGCATGTTTTAGAGGCTTCCTATAGACTTTGACCATCAAGAATATTGCAACAAATGAAGAGATGTGCTTGGATGTGTGTAATCATAAACAGAGATATTGCATGTCACTTTCCACATAATTTTCTAGATAGAAGTTAACCCTAGTTATATAGAAATAAAGAGATCATATAAAAAGAGTGATGAATGTGACCCCTCCAACGATGGAATCTAGAGCTAGAAGGTCGTGCATGAGATTATATTTTCTTTTTTAGTCCATGTAGATATATAGGGAACTTTGAGAATTGAAGTCTATACCTTATCTACCCTAAGGACAGAAGGTTCACTTATAATTATGTAGTGTATTAGTACATTATTCCATCATTGAAGACTATAAGGAGCTAATTATTTTATCATCTCTAGGTCACGGGCATGCTTTGGATTGTACAAAAATGAATAAAGGTCAGAATGTTCCAGCCTTGTAAGTTGTAACTGTGTGCTAATTAATTAAGCACACGAGAATTTATGTTTTAATTAAAAACCATTGAATTTTTATTTATTTACCAAAATCACAATAAATTTTATGCATTTTATTTCAAACTTTTGTTCTACTTTTATTTCATCACAAGGAGATGTCGGAAGGAAGGGATAAGCTACACTTTTGAAAGATTAAAATGTTGATCCAATGATCCTCGATCAGAATCCCACAATGATCCCCTCCTCAAAAAAAGAAAAAAAATCCCATAAAAGAAGAAAAAGGCATTTCCACAGAAAAATAAAGGAGGGTCTAGATATGATGATGAGATTCAAAAGTAAACAACTTACACCCACCCTAATTCATGAGCAGTGTTAAAAAAATTTATGAAACTTGCCTTATAACTATAAATAGAATCATAACTTAGATTATCCATAAAATTAATGATATGAGATGCCCCCATCAATCTTTGGTCTTTAATTACATAATCTTATTGATCATGGGTTATAATCACTGGTGTGAAAATGATAATTCTTGTTTGATATGATCATTCTCTAAAACATAAAATGCTATATATCTTGCCATGATTCCTTGGTTTCCATAATTCCAATCACATGATCAATTACATTCATTTAAAATAAAAATACGTACGGGACCTTAATTATATGATTGAAATTCAATATGAAGCAAACAAGGGCCAAATGACCAGTTAGATCCCTGTTACACTGGCCAAAAAATTAATAAAGTGAGTGATCTTAAGATCGGAAAATATAATAATGTTAGTTTTATCTTTGTTCTATATATTTTCCGGGCAAAGACATTGAAGAAAAGAGGGACCAACAAGTTGACAATATCTGACATTGATAATAAAGTGGGCCAACGCACATGCACAAAAGTTTAAACTTTCTCATTTTATTTATTTTTTTTAGAGGAATCACAACCTTCCAAGTTTCAGTTCCATATGAATAAAAATATTATTAAAAACAAGAAAAAGATAGAAAACAAGTCTCTAGCAGGATAAAACAAATCTGAAACATTGTCTTTCAATTTGATTACTAGTCTAGGAATTTGAGAGATCTCAGCATATGTAAATAAATAACTAATTAATTTTTTCGGTTTCCTTTTTTTAAATTCAAATTGAATGGGTTGGCTTTAATAATTTTCCTACTTCAGGACGCCATGATAGAAAGGTGCTTTATATAGCCAATATACCAAGAACATAAAAGCATTGAGTAGGGACAAAATGGTGAGTACATGCATAAAAGAAAGAAAAGAAAAAAAAACCAAAACAGCTATAGCTCCTCTTTCAAGAGGCATCAACCCACCAACACTGTTGCCAAGAGAATAATCAATAGTAAATTAGTTATCTAATACCGCATTGGATCTTATTATAGTAATTCTAGAGAAAAACTAATGGTTTTAACTGACATGGTCATATGCTTCTTAAAATTAGAAAACAAAGAGAGACCAGGGAAGTGAGAGGGATGCAAAAGTTATTCACTTATAACAACACATATATACTCACGGTGTACAAATTTTTCACAAATAGATAAACAATAGTTGGTCAAAAGTTTTGGAGCATTGTGTGAAAAAAAGTAAAAGAAAAAGATTATCCCTTGATTCAAAGTCTTTAAAATTTTAATATTACTTATTTATTTTTCATATTTCAGTGTTTTATTAAGATAGAAATTTTGGTGTGAGTGATTAGTTTCACGTTGATTAGAAATTATCTTAATGAAAATATAAAAAAAAAACAAAAATGTAACTAGTTAATATATTAAAGTTTTGGATAAAGATGTGATATGTGGTTGATTCAGGAAATAGTTTTGACTTTTAATTTAATTATTAGCCCATATTAACTCTTCTAAGTACTCCACTAGACTCTCAACACTTTACTTATTGAACCCTTTTATTTTACATTACCTTTTTAGTTTTTTATACATCTATTTTTATTCCCTTTAAAAAATAGTTTTTTCTCTTTAGGTCTAATTAATTTGACATTTTATAGTGTAAAAAGTTGTGAGACTAACATTTTTCTTACATCTTCATTGACATGGTCATATATTTTTGTTTAATAAAGTTATATAATTATAAATTTATAACTTGAGAGAGAGAGAGAGGTGAGAGGGTGGCTTTAAATTAAGTGGCTGGTGTATTAGTGAAAGAAGAGGAGTGTAACAAGAGTCAAATTGAAACAGCACATGCTCTTTGTTCCAACACAATGGCTTTCACACTAGACAGGTTTGAAGAGAATATGGTATTCACTTTGGAGTCTCAGAAGTCAGTGCCAGCACCCTTTCTGACAAAGACATACCAGCTTGTTGATGACCCTCACACTGACCACATTGTGTCATGGGGTGAAGATGAAACTACATTTGTTGTGTGGAGGCCCCCTGAGTTTGCCAGAGATCTTCTTCCCAACTATTTCAAACACAACAACTTCTCAAGCTTTGTTAGGCAACTCAACACCTATGTAAGCATCCTTATCATCTTTTCTCATATACTTCTTCACCGCTTTACTCTCCATCTTAGCTTCATTTCACTTCATTGAGTTTGAAGGTAAAGATGTTTCCATGAGAACAAATATGAGTCAATACTAGTACTACTCACAAGTTGAAGGATCGATCTTTAGTATAACTAGTGATCTGACATTCATTTTTATTTCATTGTTTTGTACCATAAGGGAAACTTAATGTGTCTGATGCTGCAAAACACTTTTACAATTACAACCTCCGAACAGGAAAAGTATTTGAAACATTTTTCAAACAGGAAAATGTGGATAACTTGATTCTAGTAGAAGTAACATTTATGCAACTTTTGCTTGTATTACAAAATTTTACATTAAGTTTCACTACAAACTTGCTATAAAGATAAAAGTTTCCTAATATAAATCACTTCCTTTCAAATTCAATTTTAATGATCTTTTATTATAAAATGATGATCATCTAAAATCAAGTGGTTCGGAGGAGAGACCATCATAAAGATAGTTAGTCAGATTTTTTAACAAAGATTAACCACTCATAACATAATTACCAAAATAAGATCGTTTACATACACTCACACACATAAACACTATGATTAGCAAGCTATATATGATTGCATTATAATGTTTTTCAATATAGCTACTTTAGCTTCATGATAAACTATGAATGGTGAAGCAGCATAAGAATCTTCTTCTCTTGCAGGGTTTCAAGAAGGTAGTTGCTGATAGGTGGGAGTTTGCAAATGAGTACTTCAGAAAAGGAGCTAAGCACCTTTTATGTGAAATCCACAGGAGGAAAACACCTCAACAGCATCACCAACTTTTCCATCATGACCAACAATCACCATCCCAGATTCTTCAGCAAGATGAAAGTCTATGCTGGCTTGACACTCCACTACCATCTCCAAAACCAAGCACAGACATCCTAACAGCACTTTCTGAGGACAACCAAAGACTAAGGAGAAAGAACTTCATGCTCCTATCAGAACTCAGCCACATGAAGAGTTTGTACAATGACATTATATACTTCATCCAAAACCATATAAAACCAGCACCCTTTGAACAAAGAAGCAGCAGTGCTGCTATTGCGAAGCTGGTGGAGTTGGACTCATTGCATGGGTCTCCAATTGACATGGGGGTTCTAAGAAGTTCCAAAAGTTGTATTGTGGATAAATCTTTGATTAGTTCTTATGAGGAATCAAATAGTTCTGTGAAGCTATTTGGGGTCCCTCTAAGTGGCAGAAAGAGATTGCACCCAGATAACACTAATTGATTATGTGTCCCATGATGATGATGGTTAGCTTTTATTGGGTGGCCATGACTGTTTTTGTTGAGATTGTAGAATATCTCTAGTCATGTATAGCACTGGCTGATGTTTAATTATTACATTTTGGTGTACCCCAACCCCAACAGATTTTTCGATTGATATTTTAATCAAGAAACCATGGTTTTTCTCTCCCTCGTTGTTGAAGTTGGAGTCACAAAGTATTAAGAAAGTGAAACATGAGTATAACTCATCTTATAAAATGGGTTTGTAAGGTAAAATTACTTATATATATTTTATATTGTCATTGTATTAGTTGATATTATAAGATGTCTAAAACTAAATATATTGTTAATCTCATTGCTTTTACTGTTTTTTATTTTCATTTTGTAGGGCCTGCTTTCTTTTTTAATATACCTTTTATTTCAATATTCAATGTTAATGTTTGTTGAAGACCCCATATAATCTAGAAATAAGATTATAATATATAGTGTATATAAGTGCGAAACAATCCTTACTTTATTAACCAATTTCGTGAGTTAAACTCTTAATTAGCTTTTTTAAGATGATATTAGAATCTACTTAATGGATGTTGTTGGATCTATCTTGTCATATATTAACAAACCGTTATCAAATTACTTGTATATGTACTTAAGATATCTAGCTCTCAACTTGAGACAATGTATATTGAAAATTTCACATTATTATCTAAAAATAATATCATAATATAGTTTATAGATACTAATTTGTAAGACTAGATTAAAAAGTGTTTGAGGGTAAAGATGTTGGAGATCCCATATTATCGAAAAATAGAATCATAATATAGTGCATATAAACTAATTTTATAAGATTGACGGTAAAAGTGTTAGAGATCCCATATTATTTAAAAGTAGAATCATAATATAATGCATATAAATTGATTTTATAAGATTAAAGTAAAAAATATTCTACGGTAAACTAACTATATAGCAAGTTCTTTTAATTGATTTTCTGCTTTTTGAACCATTTTTTAAACAGATGAGACACCATTTATTTCTATATAATTAATCACTACAAGAAGCAACGCGCCACATTGTACGTATAATTGTTATTTTTAGGAAACATATATTTTGTTATATTAGTACAATTATATAGTTAACCGTTAACATTACAGAATAGTAAATTTACGTCGGTTATTTTTAGGGATTTCACGTCAGAAAAGGTTCCGACGTAGAAGTTGGAGACGTAAATTTACGTCCGCCGAAAAAAACCGACGTAAATTTACGTCGGACATGACAAGTCTGACGTAAAAAATTGTAAAAAATTAAATAAAAAAATGACTGCAAGCAGAACAGACCGTTCTGCTTGGAGAACGGTCCGTTCTGCAAGGAGTACGGGCCGTTCTCCAAGCAGAACAGCCCGTTCTGCAAGGAGTACGGGCCGTTCTCCTTGGAGAACGGCCCGTTCTGCAACCCGGACTTGGCTTTTCTTCTGGTTTTTCCTCTGGCTTCTCTTCTCTTCTCTTCTGGTTGTTCCTACTCAAAATATAAAAATACAAAATACACATTTAGGATAACACTATCAGCAAGAAAAAAAATTTTACTAGGAAATCACAATGTCAACAGAAAGTTTTGCTTCCTCACCCATTTGCCGTATGAATGGAAGAACCGAAGGAGTAGGAGGCGGAGAGATTTACACAACGCGCGAGAGAAGGAAGGTTTTGAAATCTTCAAATCTCCTCCAGCAAGTGTGAAGCGCGCGGGAGAAGGAAGGTTAATTTTGAAATCTTCAAATCTCCTCCAGCAAGTGTGAAGCTTCATTTAAGTGCAGTGAGGTGGATTATTTACGTCGGCCTGGTGGGGGTCCGACGTAAATTAGCTCTCTTCATTTACCATTCTGTCACCCTCTTTATTTACCATTCTGTCACCGCGTTTTTATAACGTCGGTGTTGACCTATTCCGACGTAATTTAGGTGACGTAAAATGCTCTTTTTGCACTAGTGACTGTTTTAATCAAACTTGAGAGTTAACATCAAAGATCGCTAATTTTATAATTGCTTACCAAAATTCAAAAGACGAGCTCAAGACATTTCATTATTGAACTCACCTTCGAAAGAAAAAAAAATTCCAAAGAAATTTTGGATGCTTTTATTTTTCTCAATTATCTCTTAGTGATAGTATTATTTTATACATTGTCAAATCAAATATTTTGCGCATTCAATCAAATAAATTTCGTTTTACATGTTTTTAAAATATTATTACAAAAATTAACAAATATACAAATTTATAATTAAATAATGTCATAAAAAATTATACTAACAACATATTATTATTTTTTAAAAGTTTATCATTCATTAATTATTTTATTTAATGTTTTATTTTTTATTACTTTTTATATTGTAAAACTATAGAGACATGTATAAAACATTCATAAAATGTTGCGAACAATTCTGTTTATAACATGCACAATCCTTAATTTTTCATATATTAAACACACATTTTAATGGGTGTTTTGCATAACACGTTTACTCACATTTATTGATCCTTAAAATTAAGAGTCACAAAGTGACCAATAATGTATCTTATGGGTCATCAATCCGCCTAACAAGGCAAGACATGGATGCTACAAAGGATGGATAAGAAAATATAATTCATCTTATATAAAAGTGGGTCAGTGTGTTAATGAATAGATCCGTTAAAAAATAAAGTAATGAATTGATTAGACATGAAGTAATAAATTAGTGGGTTCACATATCAAAATTAGCTAATTGATTCAGATTAGAGTTAATTTGAGTTGTGAAAAAATTTAAATTAATTTAATTAATTCAATTTAGATTACCAAACTCCTTAAGTTGATATGAACCAATAAATATATACATCTTTAATAAGTTAATATAGTGAGTTAGCTTAACGGGTCAATTTGTCTTGTTTTACTTTTTACTCGTTGCATTAATTGATATATGAGTTAAAATAGGTTAAATTATATGTAAATTACCTCTCATTTTGAAACAAATGTTCTACTACTTAAAGTGAGGTTGGCATTGATCATAGATAAGTATATCAATATCAATTTAATTAAAATAACTCCCTTGGATGATAAAATGAGAATAAATTAATTATGGATGAAACACTAAACATAGGAAACACAACATGAAGCATATTGGAGGTGCAGGATGTGATTGAGCAATCATTTCATGCGTTTTAGTTTGACGGATGATTGATTACACATGGAATCTTATGTACATATTTTCACTTTCGGTTTCCTCTAAAAAGAATAAAAAACAAAACCATAAAAAAGACCAAAAATTAATGGGGGAGTGGGATAAAGAATGCGTTTGGAATAAAAGAATTCATCGGGATTGTAATATCAATTTTTCATGAAATTCTCTGCCATGCATCACTCCTCAAGCTACGAATTTCATAAATGGAGAAACTTTTCTCTTTCTCTTTTATCTGTGTTACAAGATGATTATGATATTCCACTGGACAATTTGTTAAAGCAACGCAAAGTACGAAAAGATCAAATCCGAAACGGAATCCCATACACTATTAAGAAAGCGTTTCAAAGAAATTTTTCAATACTTGAAAATTATGATTTTAAAAAATTATAAATATCGATAATTATCATTTTTTTTAAAATTATTTATAGAGACTTATGAGAATACAAATATGAATTTATGAAAATAAAGATTTTTAAATTTTATTACAATATTTATACAAAATATATTTTTACAAAAAATTAACTTTTATTTTTTTTGTAAATGAGTCATAATCAAACATATATTTAACTTCAAATAATAATTCAACAATTTACTAATGATTAACTATACGTAAAGTCACATTAAATCAAAGTATAAAATATAATTTTCATAATTTATTATAATAAAAAATTAAATTAATAATCAAAATAATTAGAATTAAAATATAAATAAACATGCATGTCTTAGTGCATGCATATTCAAGTAGTTATGCGACCATGCTATTGTGTCAATTATGTGTGAAACATGTATAATTTTAGGCATACATATAAATTGTTCAAAATACTAATATAAATGCAAAATAACGCAAAACATAATCGTGAAAGTTGCAAATAGAATAAAAATATTCGAAATGGGATTCAAAGTTTGCAAAACAAGTCAAAATAATCCAAATATTCAAAAATATACTCTCTCCTCCTTTTGGCACCAGCAAAATGTTAGTCCAAAAAGTCAATGTTGTCATCCTCCTCAGAGCATGCTTAAATGTTGAGATGAGCAAACACCCTAGAGAGTTAGCATCCTTGGCATTGGACTCTATGATCCAATCTGACTTGTTGTCTAAGTATGTAATGTGGGGCTCGCGATAGAGTCCAATGATGACTCAATCACGATCTTCTTTTGTGGCCAGTAGAGGAAGAGAAGGATAAGAGGGTTGCTCGGACATGCCTAATGGACCAGTAGAGGTGTTTGGAGGAACTGGAGGTGGAAGACAAAACAACTTCTTGTACCAAAAAATGATATTTCCTTGTAGGAATAGATAGAATAAAAATTTGTATGGTAAAGAATATTTGTATACCTTACGACATGTTGTGAGCTAGTTCAAAGAAGATGGGGTCGTTCTGCATAGAGGATAAGCCATAAAGCTTTAGCTCAACACTTGAGGATAACTTTCAAGGTCATTTTTCAAGGAGTGCATTTGAGATGTATGATGAGCCTTGTAGCGAAGAAAATGCACACCCTCTAGGTATTGTGATAGCTTTTTCTTGCCTTTTTGATTATCTGGTGTAGCAGGCATTGGGTGAGTAACTTTGATAAAGAATCGGGTCCATGGCCTGTATGGCTCGCTAAGCATGTAGACGTTCAATAATGCACAGTCCAGGAGCATCTCATAGATATTGGCTCTTAAATGTATTGAAATCCATTAAATGAGTAGTGAAAGCCAAGTCATCAGGAGAAGGGCTCTAATAACTTCCATCGAAGTCTGTGGTGGCCTCCTTAAGTAGATGCTCTATTTTGGAGTCTACGTTGTCTGATCCAGAGTCAAAGGCCTCTAAGGATGGAATGGCCAAATTGAAGTTCTCATGTGCAGATGAAGAGGGTTGAACCATGAAGCTATCAAAACTAAGGGGTGAAACAAAGAGCACTTTAATTGACACCACCAGATCATTATCATGCACAGGTACCACAAGAGTGGGAAAATGTGGTGCCAGATGAACTACTAGCCTCGATGGTAGAATCCAACTACAGTCCTCAACTTCAGCTTCAGTGGTTGTAGAGGGAACTTCCTCCTTATCTGACACCCAATCTTCAATGATTGGACTATGGGATAGTTTGTTTATACTCTAGATGATTTTGCAACAAAAGCTACCTTCAAGGGCTCCTCTTCAGCAGTTTGAATAGGAGAGTCTCCTCAGAAGAATAAGTCTACAAACGATGACTCCTCCTGGGTCAAGTTTCTAAATGTTGGTTAAGCAGCCAATTCTTGAAGAACCTTTGTGGGTGCCTCCATGTCCTACACCTTGTCTACAGTTGCAATAGATGCATTTGGCTCCTTCTCATCCAGGGAAGACAAAGCTTGTTCTCCAACCCCCAGAGAGGATGTCTTGTAGAAGGACAACTTTAGAGTAGTTTCTAACTATTCCTACTCTAAGGACATGAAGGTTGCATCAATGATCACCTATTATTGAGCTTCAACAGTCGAGAGTAGCTTAACCCTTTTCACTTCCCTATCTTCCTCTGTTTGAGGCTTGAAGCCTCGAACCAAACACTTCTTCCTCCTTGGTTGGGGTTCAGGTTGAGGTGTAGGCTGGGTAGGTAAAGTTGGTAATTGTATGTAGGTTGAGGAGGTAAAGATGGATTAGTTGGAGGTTTGGGAGGGGTAGTGGTAGTGGTAGAAGATGGTTTTGATGGTTGTGATTTAGAGGTTGAGGTAACAACAAACAAAGGTGGAGTTTTATGCACTAGTACAAAAATGACTTTTAAAATCGGGGTTTTAAAATCGGTTATAAGGTAACTGATTTTAAAAGTGACGCGGTGGCAATTTTGTAAATAATAGCATTACTTTTAAAATCGGTTACGTTATGACCGATTTTAAAAGTCTCTAACGGTACTTTTAAAATCGGCTCTCCAAGAGATGATTTTAAAAGTCCACTTTTAAAATCGGTTCTTGAAGACCGATTTTAAAAGTTCCACTTTTAAAATTGGCTATTGAAGACCGATTTTAAAAGTCCACTTTTAAACTCGTCTATCAAATAGCCGATTTTAAAAGTATCATTTTTAAAATCAGTTATTGAACAACTGATTTTAAAAGTAGCATCAGAGACTTAAACTTCTATCTCCGCTCTCATTCTCCCCCTAGCTCCATTCTCTACTCTTTGGCTTCAATAGTTCATATATTTCTCTCTTTACTCTCTCGGGCTCTCATCTAAAGTGTGCAGCTTCTCATTTTCTCGGAAGAATACAACATCAAGGTAACATTGTCTTCTATTGTCTCTTATTTCGTTGTTGTTGGGGAATTTTGAGTCTGAAACGGCCCTAGAACGGCCCCAAAACGGCCCGTTCTATTTGAAGAACGGGCTGTACTACAAGCAGAACGGGCTGTACTGCTATCAGAACGGGCCGTACTGCTTGCCGTACGGGTCATACTCGAAGCAGAACAGGTCGTTCTGCTTGTAGAACGGGCTGTTCTGGGGCCATTCCAGACTAAACTTTTAGGTATTTTTCGAATTTCAGAACAGGCTGTTCCAATTTAGGAAAACAGTGTAGTATAAATAGTTGATTAAGTTACTATTGTTTTACTTGTTCGTGTTTCTTGGTTGCCAAGCCTACAAACTTAATCCGTACGTAAAAAAACGGTAAACTTTGACAAGGAAGCAAGTCTAACTTTAATTATTGTAAGTATTTGAATTAATTTTAATTATGTTTTGTTGCTTTTTTCTAACTTTATTTCTAACCTTGTAGATTTATCCATAAATTGAGTGTGGATAAAGGGAATGATCACATTTATGAATTTTTGGAACCCGAGTTAATCCAAAAAATTGGGAACAAGACAGAAGAAATTCAAGCTTACATCCAAAATTGGATGTCTGACTCAAATAAAAAAGTTTACTTAGTTCCTTACTTTTCTAAGTAAGTCTATTTGTATATAATTGATTATAAATTTTTAAAAAATGTATTATCTATTACTGATAGTTTCTCAATGCAGTGCTCATTGGCAACTTCTGATTATTTGTCCTATGGACAATATATCTGTATGCATTTGTTCGATGCACAAACCTCCTCCTGCAGACTTTAAACAATTATTAGATAAGTAAGTTGTTTTAAAAAAACTACTTTATTTTATTTATCATTACATTTTATTTTAAAATATAATAATGATGTCCTTTTATCATTAGGGCTATGGAAGGATACCATATACTTAAAGGTTCAAAGTTGAAGAAAAAAATGCTTTGGGTCTCTCTTAAAATAAGTTATTTTAGTAATGATATTTTTTCTAAGGTATTTTCTTTTGAATTACCATTACTACTAAAATTGGTTTTTATATTCTTTTTGTAGTCTCATAAGCAAAAAGGAAACTATGAGTGCGGATACTATGTAATGAAGGCAATGCATACTATTGTTGATTCACAAATAGTATCTGGGTGGACTGAAGTACGTTTTAGAATTTTAAAATTTTTTATTTTAAGTTTGCATTTTATCATGTTTTAAGAGTTACTTCTAATTGTTCTAAATTTTCTTAACAGATATTTATAGATCGATCACCATTGTCGCTATAAGATATAAACACCATTAGGGAGCAATGGGCTACATTTTTCATTGAAACATTGACTAGCTACGAGTTATGTTTATAGTTTTACTCATTTTAATTTAGGATGCATCATAATTTGTAATTACTTTGATTAAATATATGGTTGACATTTACCAACTCTTGTCATTTGTATGTAATTTGGTCTATTAAAAATATATGAATTGTTTTGTATTTTATTAATTTGCAGGTTTTGTTCATGGATCCTCCTAAAATAAGTCAAATATTTAAAAAAAATTAGCCACTTTTAACATCGGTCATGCATTGACCGATTTTAAAAGTCTCACTTTTAACATCGGTCACTGTTGACCAATTTTAAAAGTCTCACTTTTAACATCGGTCACTGTTGACCAATTTTAAAAGTCCCACTTTTAACATCGGTCAGCGACCGATGTTAAAAGTCTCACTTTTTAAAATCGGCTCTTTTAAAATCGGTTAGAGAACCGATTTTAAAAGTAAAAAATGACCGATTTTAAAAGTGTTTTTTCCACTAGTGATGTTTGAGTAGAGGTGCCTCATCTTCTAAAGGAGTGTCAAATATTTGAAGGGTTTTGAGAACATATTGGTGAGGTGGTCGACGTTCAAGCTTGGGTGGTGGTGATAATGGGTCAAATAAAGAGGCGGATGATAGTGTTGGGGATATGGTTGGGTAGGGTTTGGTTCATGGATGGTGATGGAAGAGGAGGTGGTCTGACACTTCTTTTTTAATGGCTATGCTTTGATTTCACTATTGACCTTAGAGAAAAAGGTGATCAATCCCCATTCGATTTAAGGTGGTCACATTTACCTTGCCACCATCTAGCCCCTTCTTGTAGCTAGCCAAGTCCATGCTGTGGTGTTCGAGGATCTTGGTGAAGAGCATGACATATGGAATTGGAGCTCTTCATCTAATTGTGGTCTCTTTAGGCCAAGAAGGTCTTCTAGTGGAGATAAATAAGATCAAGAAGATTTACTTTACCCCTCATTAAGATCTTGTGCAAGCAAAACTTGTCAATGTTTGTGACATGGTCCCACGACTCAATACGAGGAAGGAAGACGTTGAAGAGAAGGTTATGGAGCACTCTACAAACTAGCTTCAGGTTAGCTTGCCTGAGAAACTTCTTCAAGTCTCCTCGCAAGGTGGGATAATGGCCATTCTAATAGAGTAAGGCATTCACCATTGCTGGAGTGAGGGCGACCTCCCAATCTTCATTATATCTCTCTGGTTCCTCTGTTAGCTTGGTGACAAATACAATAATCAGGGGAGAGATTCTGACCACAATTTATTGATCATGTCCAACAATGGCATTCGTCTCTTATACAATGGATGCCCAAAAATGAGCTTAGGGTGCATGAAACCAATCCACCTTCAACAATGCATATTTTGTCCATCTGGCAAGGTCCAAGAAATGTTGGATGAGATAGCCATTGACCTGTAAGTCAGCTGTGGCTACAATCTTCCCAAGGAGGAAGACGTTAAATGGATACTCCACCGTTGGTGCCTTTTGTCCAGAGGGTGTTACTTTGGGTACCATTTTTGTGCCTTTGAGGTGTTTAAGAAAGGTTTGCAAAGAAAAGCTAGAGGTAGAAAAATATGAATAAGAGCAATTTTTCAAAATAGAGGGAAAATAGTTTTGAAAGGCTATTTATAGGCTAAGGGAATGAGATGTTAGGTGATTTCTTTTTGGTAGGAAAGATCAAACACATCGCCTCGACTCCTCCCCCACATTCTCCTTTTTTGCTGTTTGTGCACTAATAATGTATTGGCATTTATGAGCATTAACTGCACCTGACACGCTTAGACGAAACGTTAGTGTATATTAGTTTCATTAACATTGCCATGTCAAAATACACAAATGATGCATGGTTAGACGAAAAAGTGAAATGTATAAACGATGCATGAAAGACAAAATAAATATGAACTTTATTCTGATAATGGTTTTAAGCCTAGATGATTTCTAATGAAGATAAATTATTCCTCAATTAGAGCCTTTGTAAAGATATCAGTGGCAACGAATCTTATGTCAAAAACTCCTTTTTGGACATAATCACAAATGAAATGATATCTTATTTTGATATGCTTAGCTTTGGAATGTCGTATGGTATTTTTGGACAAGTTGATAGCACTAGTGTTGTCACAAAATACTGGAATAGACAATTCAAAACTTGAGTAGTCTTAAAGTTGATATTTGACCCATAGTAGTTATGAGCAAAATTCGGCTACGGAGATATATTAAGCTTCAACTGTAGATAGCACAATAGAGTTTTTCTTTTTACTTGCCTAGGAGATGAGACAATCTCCCAAGAAGTTGCATCCTCCTTTAGTGATTTTTCTTTCCACTCTATCTCCAGCATGCATAATCAACTTCATAGAAATCTGCTAACTTGAAATCATGATTTTTCTTGTAGAACAAACTAAGGTTAGTAGAACCTACAAGATATCTTAAAATACATTTAACAACCTTGAGGTGAGAGTCCTTAGGATCATACTAAAATCTAGCACATAAATAGATGTTAAACATAATGTCAAATATGCTTGCTATGAGGTAGATTAGAGACCCTATCACTCATCTATAGATTGTTTGATCCACAGGTTTACCTGATTCGTCTTTTGATAAGCTTCCAAACGAATGTATGGGAGTAGGCATAGGCTTACAATCATCCATTCTAAACTTCTTAAAAAATTCCTTGGTATATTTTTGTTGATGAATGTAGGTGCCTTCATCTAGCTATTTGATCTAAAGTCTTAAGAAGAACATCATTTTCCCCATTATGCTCATTTCAAACTTCGTCTACATCAACATAAAGAAATTCTTACACAAAGATTCATTAGTATAACCAAAAATAATATCATCTACATAAATTTGCACTAATATAAAATTTGTTCTAGACTCTTTTTTGAACAAAGTAGTGTCAACTTTGCCTTTTACAAAACCATTTCAAAGTAGAAAGCTACTTAGTCTATCGTGCCAAGCTCTAGGAGCTTACTTTAGTCTGCAAAGAGATTTTTGTAATTTATACTCATGATCTTTGAATTCTGGATGTTCAAAACCAAGAGGTTGTTTAACATAAACTTCCCCTTCAATAAAACCATTTAAAAATGTGCTATTTACATCCATTTGAAAAAGCCAACACAATTTGTATAGCTTCGAGTTTGGAAAAAAAGCAAAAGTTTTAGTAAAGTCAATAACTTCTTGTTGATTGTAACTTTGGGATACTAATCAAACTTTATTTCTTATCACTTTACCTTCTTCATTTAGTTTGATTTTAAGACCCATCGAGTTTTTATGACACTTTGATGATTTGGCTTTGGTATAAGGGTCTAGATGTTGTTCCTTTCAAGTTGATGAAGTTCTTCCTCCATGATAATGATCTAGTCATTATCTGTTATGACTTCGTTTATGCATTTTGGTTTGATCTCATAAACTAATGCACAAGAGGCGAGGTCCCGAAAAGTAGAATAAGTCTTTAGCCTTATCACCCAAGATTTGATCCTCTAGATGACGATGAACAAATTTCCAATTCCTCTTAGGTCTTGGAGCTTCATTTGGCTGATTCATCTTGCTTTCTAGAGGTTCCAACATCTGAGTCACAACGTTTGTCTTTATCATTTGATGATCTTCAATATTTAAATTTGGAAAATCATCTTCTAGATCTGATAGTTTCCTATCATTTTTTTATTCATCATTGAATTTCATATGGATTGACTCTTCCACTACAAGGTCCTAAAGTTAAATAGCCTATATACCTTTGAAGTTTCAGATATCCAAGGATGATCCCTTTGTCCACTTTAGAGCCAAACTTTCCAAGTTAATCCTTAGTGTTCAAGATAAAACACTCACATCCAAATGGATGAAAGTATGATATGCTGGATTTTCTTCCTTTCCACAATTCATAAGGAGTGTAGTTTAGCATGGGTCTTATTAATATTTTGTTTTGAATATAAGATGCAGCGTTCACAACCTCTGCCCATAAATGTTTTGGTAAATTATTTTTGCAAAGGAGAGTTCCAGTCATCTCTTACAAGGTTCTATTCTTCCTTTCAACTACCCCATTTTGTTGAGGAGTTCTCCATGAAGAGACATTGTGGAAGATACCTTGGTTTTCACATAAAGTTTTGAAATCAAAATTTTGAAATTCTATTACATGATCATTTCTGATAGCAGATATGCAAAAACCTTTTACATTTTTAACACACTTACAGAAAATTTTAAAAATCCTAAACGACTCATGTTTGTGACATAAGAAGAATAGTCATCTACAATAACAAATCCATAGTTTTTACCTCCTAGACTCATTATCCTAGTTAGACCAAATAAATCCATATGCAATAGTTCTAGTGGTTTAAAAGTGGAAACAACCTTTTAGATTTAAAAGAAGATTTAATTTTTTTCACTTTTTGACACGCACCAAGAGAAGATGGGTTTTCCGCTCAGGCAATCCCCTTACTAAGCATTTCTGGCTTATTTTAGAAATATGTTTCATATGGACATGCTCAAGTTTTTTTTTTTTTGCTAGATCATATTTCATCTTCTCTGGACACTAAACATGTTATATTTTGTCTGCTCAAACTAGTTAGATCAATCTCATAGAGATTGTTCTTCCTCTAAGCTGCAAAAAGCACATACCCATCATTTTGTTTGACTATGCATGTGTCTTTGTCAAAGACTAC